AGGCCTTGATTAAACTCCCAGAAGCCTCAGCTGTTGAGCAATGAAGAATTAGAATCGTATAAACGTAGGGTGCCATTAGGGCACACCAATTTCTGTAGCCAAAAGCGCACAAAGGAGTGACATCTGACCACCTTTGTGGTGGCCCCCAGGTACCTATGTAGGGCTGACTGGAGGCAGCCTTTGGTACAAGTCTGGGGCAAGGCTTGATCTCCTACGTCTGACACATTAACCGCTCTGCCATGCGTCCCAAACAGGCAGTTCCCAAGGCCCCAGTTAATAGTAAGACCAGAGATAAGGAAGACTCCCATGTTGAGTTTTCAGAGTGTTAAATCTTGTCTACTTGACACCTCCCAAGGACCACCAAAGAAAGTGGCTTGGAAAGACTTGTCTCAGATTCCAGTCACAGTCCCTCATCATACGCAGAGCCTCACCCACTCCCTTTGGGAACGGTTTGTATAGAAACTTTGGCTCTGACACCTCTGTGCTCCGGGACCCCAACCAGGGGCGGAAACTTGGTGAGAAGCTGCTGCCTTGCGTTTCCCGGTACTCCTTCCATCCTGCTAACATGCCGAATCCCTAGTGCTTTGCTAATCCTGACCCTGTGGGCTACCTGCACAGTGTCTCAGTTATTAAATAAAATCAGCATGCACATAAATACATTTCCCAGGGTAGCTCACTACTAATCAATTGACGTCTCCCTTAAGCAACATGGTTGTTCCATGGGACAGGTATTTCATTCAGAGGGCCTGCAAAGACCAGGTTGATGCTTGGAAACCCACAAATTAAAAAAAAAAGAGCAATTAGGCATTGCAGCAAGCCAAGCTGGAAGTCCAGTTGGTTGCATCCACCAGTCTGAGCACCTGGGGCTTCCAGCTGCACAAGCTTAGCTGTAAAAGCACATGACTTCCAGGAACAACCATCAGATGGGACATTCGTGCTTCGACAGCAGCCAAATACATTACTTCATGCTGTAAATAGAAATCAAAGATGATCAGGCTTGGAGGGACCTGAAGTGACCTTCCCCTGGCTTCCCCTGCTCTGAGCCACAATCAAGGGTATCTGCTGGGTGGAGATATCCAGCATTAATGGAGATTCAGTGCCCTCCTGAGGAAGACTATTCCAGGTCTCAGCCTTCCCGGTGTGGGACCCTGGCCTGGAAAATGTTGAACAATGGCAGCTCTCATCAGTGTTGATGGTGCCGCTCCCTGTCCTGCAGCCTCTGGTGTTGGGTTTCCAGTTCTAGCTTCTCCTTCCCCCGTGCACTGGCAAAGTCTCCAAGGAAGTCATAATGAGTGGCAAAAGCTCACAAATCTAGGCAGTGGCTTGCTGGAGCACTTTCTAGTTTAGCCATTACAAAATGTCACATGTCATTGTGCTCACCACAAATGTCACATCTCTTTGTGCTCCCAGTTCCCATCCGCTAATGCCCACGTGGCCACAGCTGATTTAGAGGAACCTCAGCTCTGCAGCCTTCGAACACATCATCCTTTCTCAGAGGGGTGTTGTATTTGTCATCGCCTTTCACTCGAGAAGCAGAAGAGCTGACTTATAGCCTTTTAACTGAGCAGTTCTCTATTTGTGAAAGTTCAGCTGGTTATAAAACAAGCAGCCTTTTTTGGGGGAGGAAATGAGGGACATGAACTGGGAACCAGGTCTTCTGAAGACTGCACCTGGTTCTGTCGCGTCATGGGTGGCGTTTTGCTGGGGCATAAATGCACAGGGGCAAATGTTGGCCGATGTGGTTATAGGTAGTGTGGTATTTCTAGGCCCATTTTACTGTCTGTAGATTCAGGAAGGCCCACATTGTGAGACTCTGTTCATGCCTCTAAATCTCAAGGAGATCCCCGTGTCCCAACTCCTAGGGTTGCAAGGGATCTTGAGCAGCATCTGGTCCAACTCCCCGCACTCCTAAATCACAGCTGTCCCACGCTCATCCAATCTCCTCTTGAAAGCCTCCACTGAAGGGGATGCCAAAGCTTCCTCTTTCCTACTGTTTTATCTGCTCGGAGTTATTTTCTCAAGACCTAATCCAAATCTATTTTGCTGCCATTTAAACTTCATGTCCTGCCCTTTACAGTGAGCAGAAACAGTTGTTCCCCTTCTTTTTCATGGCAGCCTTTCAAACATTTGAAAACTTATGTTGTCACCTCCCTGGCTTGCCTCTTCTCCAAGTCTAACACAATGAATTCCTCCAACCTCTCCATATATAACTTGCCTTTCTGCTCTTTATTTACTACCCTCCTCTGGACCCTCTCCATCTTCTCCACTTTCTTTTTAAGATGCAAAGGCTGGAACTGCACACAGTACTTCCCAGTACTGAGATGCTAGAGCAGTGCTTAGATGCTTATATTTGGAGTCAGGAAGGAGTTTTACCCCCTTAGTCAGATGGGGATGAGCTTGCTGGGGAATGGGAAGGTCGCCTTCCTCTGTGGCTGGGCGACATGGCCCCAACCTGGGATCTCTCAAACATTTATTAACAAAAGTAGGATGTTGGCTGCTGTGGGCCCCCTGCTTTACCTGTGGCAGGTTCAGGTGGGATGCCTTGTGTTGGGTCAGGGTTGACGATACTTTTATTAAGAGGTTCACTTATGGGTTTGTCCGGGAGGGTTTGGATAGGGCTGATCCTGCCTCAGGCAGGGGGTTAGAGTAGAGGACCTCTGGAGGTCCCTTCCTGACCCTCTTGCATTTACTGTAGCCGCAAAACTGCATTGCTTGATATGGTATCCTTTATTACAAGAAGGAACTGTAAAACTCACTGGAATGGGAGTTTTCAGTTTCTGTTACAGATACTGGTAGAACATGCTCAGTCTGTACGGGATTGTGTTCACAGGGCCTTTCTTTGCTTTAGGGTGTAGCAGTATTTGCAAAGCCTTGAACCTTTCTACTTCCCTCATGTGAGCTGCTGTGTACATCCGTGCTTCTGGCATATTCTTAGGTCCTAGCGCAGAGACAGATGAGGCTCTTTGGGTAGATGCGATATCTTTTATCAGACCAACTGAAGAAAGGGGAATGTTGGCAGGTGATAAAATGCAGCCAGTAAAATGTAGAGAGGTTACCTGGGGCTATCGGTTGGCAGGTGGTTTATAATATGCCATAAATCTAATGTCTGTATTTAGTGCATGGTCTGTTTAGCTCAGAGATGCATTTGAATATGTGCTCAAGACTCTCTATTTAACCAAGCATTTTCCTGCAAGCAAAGCACACAGTTGAATGCATGGAAGTCAGTGGGGTGTAAGCAAGAGCTTAAAGTTCAGCAAGTCCTTAGGTGCTTTTCTGACCTGGACAGTGGAGTCTGGGCTGTCATCTTTACCATCTCCAAAGATTGCCTGCATTTAGGTAATCCTCCTGATCCCAAATAGTGGGGGAAGAGAGGGCTCATTATTTCCATTGTACGGATGAAGAAATCGAGTCAGTCAAGCGATTTATTTATCTTGCTTATGCGGTTTTGGCATATTGTTTCAGCCGTCTTAAAGCAATGTCATCACCAGTGTGAACAGGTTCGAGGCCACTGGGTAGCGTAGTAAATGGACATGAGTCAACAACATGGGACATGGTTTGAACTTGTCATTTGTTGTCATGGCGAAGGCCCCATTGGTGTAGCTTTGAGGCGCAGTGACCCGGTCCAGTTCGAAAATGGTTGAGAAGTGCCCAATAACGGCGTGGCCAGTTAAATCCTGGTTGACTGGCTGTAGGGTCAGAGGTGATACGGTGATTGATTGGTGCTGGTGCTGACCACTCTTCATGCCATTGAGTAAGTAAGGAAAAGTGATACATCCTAAGAGACATAGCTACTGGCTGAACTGGGGAGAAAACTTGTTTGGGGTCAGCAGAGCCAATGCCAGGCTCCTTAGCAAGTTCTCAGTCCCCACGTTGTCATTTTAACCGCGTTACATCTCTCTTTGTATCCCTCCACTGATTCCTTCTCCGTTGCCTCAACCACAAGCTTGGCTTCAAGGCCCATCAAAACCTACCTCTGCCCACCTGCCACCCCATGCACTACAGAGAAGACAGCCATGCTTCCCCGTATGCTAGAAAGGAGCGCCCCATAAACTCTGCAGAGTCCTCTCCAACAAACTCTGCAAAAGTCCTCGTCCTTAAAAAACTCCTTTGCTGCATTGCCTACAGAAAAAGAAACGTTTGGCAATAGCTAAGCTGCAGGCATGCTGAGCTCTGGCTGCTAATACTGTCTCATGGGGTTTCTTGTACTCCCCATCACCATCTGTTACCTTATCAATTTAGATCAGAAGATGTTTGGCAAGGAGAATCATCTTTTTTTCACTGCGTTCATACGGCAGCCAGCATAGCAGTCTGTGCGGTGGCCATTCCTTCAGGGTTCATCCTACCAACGCCGTGCTGGCGTTGAAGGGATTTCAGGTTAGAAGCTGCCTGGGAAAACCCTCCGTGCATGCACTTTCTCCATAGGCCCCACAGGAGGGCACTAAATGACTTGTTCAAGCTCATACCGGCTGTCAGTAGCAGGGCAGGGAAGTGCACCCGAGTCGCCCACGTTCCAGGCCAGCACTGAGCCCTCCTTTCCCCCATGCAATGATAATACAAGTAATACCATTTGCTCCTGCATACCACAAAATACAAGTAATACCATATGCTCCTGCCCCCAAATAAGATACACTTTGCATCTGATTTTAAGGCAGAATGAAGGAAAAAAGTTCTTCCCTTGCAAATACGGGCACGTGGCAGCAAGTGACTGCGTAGCAGCAGCTGGGGAGCCTGGCGTGCTCAGTGGGCTGCTCTCTGCAGAGCTCATGCAGCCTGACTTTTGCTGGCCCCTGGCAGAAGATTAGGCAGCAGAAACTGTGATTAGTGGACGGTATTTCCTTGCAATGCACACCGCAATTTCCAGCAGGTGATTTTGAGGGGAAATGCGCATGTTGTACGGGAGAGAGTACGGTAACTAACAGCCACAGTGAAGGGAAGGTAGAAGGGAGGTTAGATATCGCACCCAGCAGAAGGCAGTGGTGGACACACATCGCTGCTTTATGTGAGCTGGCGATATTTAAACGCTGGTGCCACTGCCCAGAGATGAGTTTGCCTCTCTTTGGTCCTTTCAGGAAGCTGCGGCGTGCCGAAAGAGGTCGAGAATGCAGAGATCCAGGTGGGCACTAACAACGTGCTCAACGCCATGCTGCGGTATACGTGCAAAGAGGGTTACAAAAGGAAAGCGGGGACATCCACCCTCATCAAGTGTGAGCAGAAAGACAACAAACTCCACTGGACAGAGAGCAATCTGAAGTGCATCCGTGAGTAATGGCTCTCAATGGCTGTGCCATGCAGCTGGGCTCGGGGCTCTCCATAGCAGCGGTAAGGCAGGAAGGGTCAGGAGGTGATGATGACAGGAGGACCAAGAGAGTGGATGCTTCATTAGCTGACAGCGAGCATTATATAGTTGTGCTGCCTTGCAAACATACTGGGTCAGACTTCTCTGGGGTGCGGCTGCAGCTGCATTGACTGAAATGCATCCCAGCTCTCTTGCACCAAAGACAAGTTTGGTTCGGCAAAATCTTCATGAAATGCCATGCTCTGCAACATGTATTGAACTGAAATTGGTCTCACGGGCAGTCCCAGGGACCTGGATGCAATGACTCATGGGGCTGAGTAGGGTTTGCAGAACCAGGCTACCTGCAAGAGGATAAGAAGGGACTTGCCCTATATCCTGTGCATGGGAGGAACTAGGATTTTGAAACGGGGGGTGCACAGGGTGACGTGCATTATCACATGCAACACACGACACATATTTTTCTCCAAGTAAAAAGCAACCGGAAGATTTACTAATATGCTGGAGGTCTTGGACTGCATTATTTAGTTTAAGATTGATGCCAAAACAAATGTAACTTCATTGGAATTTAGTCAGGGAACTCCTGGAGGGACTGGACGTGTTCAAATCAGCTGGTCCGGGTGATCTCCACCCCCGAGTGCTGAGGGAATTGGCTGCGGTCCTTGCGGGACCCCTGGCATGGCTGTACGAGCACTCGTGGGGCTCTGGTGTGGTGCCAGAGGACGGGAAGAGGGCCAGTGTAGTTCCCATCTTCAAAAAGGGAGGAAGGAGGACCCGGGGAACTGTAGCCAGTTAGTCTTACCTCCATCCTGGGCAAGCTTTTTGAGAGAATTATCCTGGCGCATGTCCACAAGGGGCCAGCGGGGGAGATTATGCTTAGGGGCAACCAGCACGGGTTCATTAGCGGCAGGTCCTGTCAGACCAACCTGGTGGCCTTCTACGGCCAGGTCACCAAATCATTAGACGCAGGGGTAGCAGTGGCCATCATCTTCCTGGACTTTCGGAAAGCCTTCGACACTGTCTCTCACCCCGTTCTCATTAAGAAACTGGGGGGCTGTGGTGTCCACACCCACACAGTCAGATGTGTCACCAACTGGCT